AAAATAAAATTTATTCGCTTTATTATATTGCATATGGGTAAGTTTAGTACTTTATTATTAGATACATTATTATTATTTATAAATATATCTAGTAAATTTATTATTTATTTTATTATCAACATAAATGAAATTCATATGAATAATTACATTCATCATGACTTGCACAGTGGTAATATAATCATTTGATTAGCACTATAGGAGATCTGGGATTATAATGAATGAAAAAGATAACAAAATAAAATCTTTGGAGTAATTCCATACCTACATCTGAAATATTATCAAGAAAACCATATACAAAGAATCAGACATTGTGTGAGTTCTCTAAAGGAAAGAAGCCATTTTATGACAGGCTACATAATCATTGTATTATATCAGATATTCTAAAAGAAGAGAGATCACAAATTACAGATGATACTCCTGAATTCTTTGCTGAATTGACGAAAAGACATTGAGGTTCTAATCCAAAAAATAAACCAGCAGCTAAAAAAATATGTAAATATTTTGGTCAATATTGTATTGATCCACCTGAAAAAAAAAATAAATTAGCAGAAGCTAAATGACAAGAAATTTATAAAGTCAAAAATAATTTTAAACATTATCCAGAATCAGTCTATACTAATGATGATAATGATGATTAAGTTTAATTTTGATATAGTTTTTATGCATTTAATAGATGACTATGGCGAAACAACAATGGATTAGAAGATGTAATTTATTATTTGTTGATATATATTTTCATCATTTACTATATATTATTTATTATATTTTTATATTATAACTAAATCAAAAAGACAGATTGTTTCGATTTTATACTATTTAATAGATGTAATGTATATTAAAAGTCAGTTAAAATATTATCTACTTATGAACAACTATCATTCCATTGCTAACTAACGGATGTTCAGTCAATCAACCAGCAGCTTTGTTTGTTTTTCTGTTTAGCTAAAAAAAATTTTTTTTTTAAGGTTTTGAATTTTTGTTTTTTGTTATTATTGCCATGTGTAATGAACTATCATTATAAAATTATATAAACATGTTTTATGCTAGTTTCAGATGATAAATTTACATTGTATCAATTAATTGTTTGGATTTATTTGGATGATGACGATTTATCATTTTGGTTAAAAAAAAAAACAAAATATTTTAGAAAAGAAAAATCTTACTTGGCATTTATTTCAAATTGTATGTATATATAACATTGTAATAAGTTGCCGTATTAGTTTATTAATATCCTAATTAAATCCATTGCGAAGATGAAAGGAATTTCATTGGTTGTTCTTTTTAAAAAAAAATGATAATTATTTGTTCCAGATTAAATCAATTAGCTAAAATTGGCAATATTTTACATTTCGAAATGGATGTACAGAAATTTATGAATGAATGTATGTATTCAAGCTTTAATATATCGAGTTTAATTAATTAATTAGTTAATTGATTGATTGAATTTAATTTGAATTATTAAATTAATATATTACATGATCTG